CGCGATACTTCCGCCGCGGGGCGGGGCGGGGCTTAGCGCGGGGGGCGTGGTGGAGATGCGTTAGTCCCGCCTTATGGGCGGGGTTTGAGGGCTGAGAGGCTTGGGGGAGGGCCCTGAGGGAGGGTAACTGGGGGGCCCGGTACTTGTGGGGGGATGACTGATGGTTTTGGGGGGCCGCAGGGGCTGGGGAGATGATGCCTGAGGGGATCTGAAGGACTGGGGAGAGGAGAGTTGTCAGGGAACTGATGGCAGTTAAGGGAGGGTTAGGTGTGGGAGGGGAAGTTGGGCGGTGTGATGTTCTGGGACCCCCCTGGGGTCTGGGGGGAGGTCAGTGCCCCAGTGGGTGAGGGCACGCACAGAGGGTGGGGACTTGTCCCCAAGGGACTGAGGGGATTTGGGGAGGGCGTGAGAGATACCCCCAGGACAGCAGCACCTGGGCTGGGAGCAGCCGCATCCCCTCAGCCCCGACCCCATCACCCTCCCTCCTCCGCAGACCTCTGCGAGAACTGTCACCACCTCATCGCACGCCATGAGTACACCTTCAGCGTGGTGGATGACTACCAGGTACCCCCGGGGAAACCTCTTCACCCCCTGCAGCCCCTCTCCTACTCCAGGAACATCCTAAACCAAGCCCTGGGCTGTTCCTCCATCACTGGATGTCCAAACCCACCCTGCCATGGCCAGCCCGGCTGATTCCCGCCCACCCTGACACCTGTGTGAGAGAGCCAGGTGGCTTCGGATACAAGCCATGGTGCTGGCTTCGAAGATTTCAGAGCCACATCCCTGTGTTCAGGGCTACCTAGAGCTTCCTGGCACTAGTCCTTGCTTTGTGAGGGGCAGCCCAGCTCACCTCTTGCCTCCTGCGCAGTCCCTGCGTGGGGATGTTGGTGATGTGTGTGTGGCCCAGAGCAGCAAAACGTGGCTGCATGGTGGGGCGGGGGGGCCTGCAGCTCTCCCAACCCTCCTTCCTGGCACATTTCTTATTCAGCAGCTAAATGCTGGAAAATGGACTCAGGGAAGCTGGTGGGGCTCATCCTGGGGGACGAAATGAGATCCCCCCGGGTCTGATTGCAATCGAGGATCAAGTGCCGGCTCCAGCTCAGGTTTCCCTGGCTGTGCCTGTAGCAGGGCTGTGGCAGAGTGCGGTTACGGCAGCACCCTCCTCTCTCCTGTCCCACCACAGGAATACACCATGCTGTGCCTGCTCTGCGGCCGGGCTGAGGACTCCATCAGCATCCTTCCTGACGACCCTCGCCAGATGACCCCACTCTTCTAAACCCGCTTTATATCCCGGTGCGAGCCCCTAGGTGCCCCCAACCTCCCTCCCCACTCCCCACCACACAGAACCGCAACACTGGGAGCTCCCTGGATCCCTGAGCGATCCCTGAGTGCAGCATCATCCCTTATGTGAGTCTTTTCTCCAAACCTCCAGCCTGGATGCGGCCGATTGCCAACGCTGGATGCTCCCACATGGCTCTGGCTGCAGGGATGGGGTGAAGCACCATAGCTTGAGCCCCCCTTGTGCTGAAGATATGAGAGGGGTCCTTTGTCACCCCAAAAAGCGGTCCTAAAGGATGCCCGCCCTGTCCTGCCTCAGGAACCCACGCATGTGGAGGCAATAAATGTGACGTGTTACAGCTCCATGGTGCAGGTGGGAGCACTTTGGGGGTGGGCTTCACCTCCCTGAACACCCTATAGTCAGTGAAGGGTGTTGGGGCCCAATGCAGGGGTCGGGAGTGGCTTTTTGCTTCCTGCAAACCTGTGGAATCCTTCCACCTGTCGCAGGTCTGGCCCTTCTCTGCATCCCAGAGCCCATTTTGCTCCCTGGCACTCTCACAAACCCTGCTGAGAAGTGACTTTATTATTTTTGCTCCCCCAGGGGCTGCGTGGAGCTCGTGTGGGGACCCCCCCACACACACCCCCACCCTGCGGGGCCCATTTCCCTGGGGGGGTAACCCAGCCCTGCCCTGCCGGCAGCAGTAAAGAGCTGAGTGCCAAAATCACTCCCCGGGGGTGAGGTGCTGCTGTTGGCACCCAGCCCCAGCAGCACTGGCGGGGAGCTCCCGGCACCACCATTTCCTGGATCTGGCACCGTGGGGCTGCTTCCTCCTTCCCCACAGCAGCCCCCTCCCCTCAAAAAACACACAGCCATGGCCACACTCCCTCCAGCTCATTTATTACTGCCAGCCTGCGCCACCCCAGTTGCCCCAGCCCTCTGCCCCCTTCGAGCCCCCTCCCCGCGGCAGTTTCGGAGGGGGCTGTCACCCGGCGGAGAGCTGGGGCTGTTTGGGGAGGGAATGGCAACTGGTGGAGGGTGGGGGGGGATGCTGGAACTGGCCCTACTTGGCCAGTTTGAGGAGACGCTGGATATCAGGCTCCAGCTGGGCTGTGGGTGTGCGGGGGCTGTAGCGTCGGAAAGGTTCCCCTTCGGGCCCCACTAAAAACTTCTCGAAGTTCCAGGAGATGTCAGAGCGTCGTACAGGGCTCCAGGTGAAGAAACGGGGCTCGGCCATCAGATGGGCCACCTCGTCAGCCGGTGCAGGCAAGTGAGCCTTCAGGTAGGCGAAGACGGGGTGGGTGTCCTGCCCGTTCACCTGGCACTTCTGGAAGAGGGTGAAGTTGGGCTCGAAGCCACCTCCCGGCCGCACGTGCTTCAGGCTGTTGAGAATCTCCTCGTTGGTGCCGTTCTCCTGTGATGGGGAAGGGAAAAAAGCCAGCGCCGTGCCCCCCTCCTCACACTGGGCGCTGCGGTGGTCCCCGAGAACTTACCTGGTAGCCAAATTGGTTACAGGGGAAGCCCAGCACGACCAAGCGGCGGGGATAGCGGGTTTGCAGCATGTTGAGCTGGGTGTAATCCCGCACTGTGGTGCCTCAGAGGGATGCCACGTTCTCGATGAGGACCACGCGGCCCCGGAAGACGTTAAAATCCACCTTCTCCCCGTGCAAGGAGGTGGCACTCAGGTCGTAGAAGGACTTGGCGATGGGGACGGTCATGGCTGCAGACGCGCGCCTCTGCCTTTCCCCGCGCATCTGTCGGGGCGTCTTAAGGGCTGTCCGGTGCCCACGTGATGCGCCAGTTCCAAAGGTCTCCTCGCCTTGCCGTGACTTGGCAGAAACCGGAGCCGTCCCACCCGCTGGCACCCACCCAGGGGGAAAAAGGAAGAGGCCGGGGGTGGCGTGGGGCCAAGGAGATGCTTCTACCTGCCTCAATAATTCATGGCACAGTCTGGTGCAACGTGGCTGCTCTTCCCTGTGCCCGCAAGGTGGGAGATGCTGTGGGGCTCGGCACCTCCAGCCTGTCGGTACAGGCTGGGGACACTCAGAGGAGTCAGGAAATAACGGGACTCCAGGAGCTGGGGCTGCGTGGGGTGGAGGATGGGGTGACTCAGACCCAGGTGGGGGGGGATGGGGTGCCCCAGTGCATCTCCTTGGCATCACCCGCAGGGGCTCCTGTGCTTGCCATCCCCACAGTGCCCACCAGTTCCAGCACCCAGTGGTCCCAGTGCTACCATCCTGCGATGTCCCTGTCCCCACCGGGGCTGGCTCATGGGAACATCCTCCCCTGGCCAGCAGTGGGAGGCATGGTCCCCGCCATCGCGGTGTCCCACAGACCCGTCCTCCCACCCGGAAAGGGGACACCGTCCCAGCAGCCCTGGAGCAGCCTCAATAATTGATACCCGCTCAGGTTGCTGGGGCCTGGCTCAGCCCGTGGCATGCTGCCCCACTTGCCCGGTGGCTGGTGGCTGCACCATAGCACTGGGGGCTTCACAGTGTCATGGCACCGTGCCCACAGCCCACCCCCAGCAGCACACGAGCCACTGGCCCCGCTCCAGCATCACCTTTATTCTGCAAACTTTGTGTGTGTGTGTGTGTGTGTGTGTGTGTGTGTGTGTAAAATCGAGGGGAGGTGGGAGGGCCACGGGCACAGGGTGGGCACACAGCGCCCGCAACACCCTACCCCCACCCCCACCATCCCCACATGGGTGCCAGGATGGGGGGGCACCTCCACCATCTCTGGGTGGGGGAGAGGTCCTGGGTTGCCACCAGGTGTTCCCCCCCGCCCCCTCCATCAGGCTGCCCCAATCCTGCACCCACTGTGCCACCCCCCACCCAACACAGCCCGCTGCGGGGGGTGTCGGGGGGGTGCAGGCTTCAACACCAGCAGGTTTTGGGGCTGTCCTCACTCCCCAGGGGCTGCTGCTCGTCCTCATCCAGGCGGGCCAGGGTGGGGGTGCGGGGGGGGGGCCGCAGCCCCTCTAGTTCCTTGCGGTGTGCCTGCAGCACCAGCTCCGTCAGCCGTGTGAAGGACTGTGAGAGAGGAGGGGGAGCGATGTGTGAGCTGGGGGACCCCCCAAATTCCCCCCCCCCCTCCAGTT